GGAGACTCATTCTAAAGAAACGTTCAGAGATGAGTCTTCGTTGTCCTCACGGACAAGCTGCCTGTTTTCTATAAAACGTGTGAGTGGGGTTTTTTTCCCTCTCCCAGAAAGGGAGTGTGTTTTATTTCAGGAAGGTGGCGGGGGAGCAGGTGGAAACGCTGGGAAGCTGGCGTGCTGGCGCACAGAGAATGAGAAGCAGCGTGGGGGGCGATGGATCTGTCACCGGTGGGAGGGGAGGGTGGTGTAACGATGCGCAAGGCAGAAGTCGCGGTGGCGTCGGGAGGTGTTTGTGTGCCCAGGCCAGCACTGGCCGTGGGAACAGGCTGAGTCCCACCAGTTAAGAAGGGGCTCGAGTGACTGATCAGAAGCCAACAGGTAGGTGAAGTTGGGTTTGCAGCAGGCACAAAGCCAGGCATTTCCTGAGTGGTTTTATGCCTGAAAATCAACAGGTCCGGCTCACAGCCTGTTGCTGAGGCTCCTGTTCCAAGCGTTTGCCACCTGCATGTCCCTGCCCATGGCAGGGAGGTTGGATTAGACGATCGCTGAGGTCCCTTCCAGCCCGAGCGATTCTATGTGGGTTAATGCCAAAGATGTTTTTTCTCAAGACCTTTGGGGCTGGACAATCCACTGAAAAGAGGCAATTCTCAGAGCTCAGCGCAGTGCAGCCCATGGCAGCTGTGGATCTACCCTCTCAGTGACTCTCCAGAATGTGTCTTCAGGCAAGCAAAGGGCGCAGGAGCTCTCTAGGAAGGACCACAGGGAGCTGCAGCTGTGTGGGTAAATGCCTGGGATCTTTCACTTATCTTTTCCCCTGTGGCCAAGTGTGTTCGTCACCAGGCAAAAATGAGCTCAGCAGCCCAGTCCGGGGCAAAAATTGCCCTAGAACATCAAGCAGCAAACATACAAGCAGAGATGTCATTAACGGGATGCGGGTGCTAATTATCTCTAGAATTGCAGCCTAAATCTGAAACCTTTCCTGCATCAAGGGAGATTCTATCAGAGAACGCTGCAGGGACACCTGAACTCTTTGCCTTCACTTGTGGTTTGAACAGAGCCTTGAGTCAGATGACGTGGAGAACTGTTATTATCTGTTAGTGCCCTTCAACAGGTTGTTGTTTCGTTCCAGTACAGGTGTTGTACGTGCCACAACAAGCTCTGGGAAGTCTCGCTGCTAGAAAAGAAGCCAGAAAGTTAATGAATTACCTTATCTCTGTTCCTGGCTGGACACTGTGTCCAGCAAACTACGGTGAAGCCCCGTGTTCCCAACTGCTCCAAGCTCTGCTGCTGCACGAGTGGCACCACGGAGGACCTTTGCCTTTCGGAGCTCTCAGCCTCCAGAACAGCTCCCTCCTTCGGGCTTAAAAAGTGTCTCTGCTGTCTCTTGGGCTTGGGAAAAAAGTGCCAACAATATCAAAAGGGGGGGAATTATCTCAAATCTGATTGTGAAGCAAGAATCCTGAGAGCGTGTCTGCATATGCAACTCATGAATAATCCTGTTGTTATTAAGAAAGAATGGAAAGTCAAACCTGAGCCCTCTGAGGCAGCGCAAGACTAAGTATCCGGTCTCTTACATCCAGATGAAAGTTGCGAGCTTGGAGTAAAAATAGCCTGACGCACCCTGATCTCCATGGTTGGGAAGTAGCAAAGTGAAGCAAAAATATCGGGGCTAACGCCTCTCCCTGTGTATTTTTGCAGGAGATGCTACCTACCTGGACATCTTCCGCGAGTTCTCTCACATGGCCTCGAACAACCCCGAGAAACTCAAAAGGAGGAGCCTCCATTTCAGCCACTCCTGCAGGTAGCCCCGTCCTCCCAAGACCTCCCGGGGGAAGGTCGGGCTCCGAGCTGCTTCGGCTCCACCAGCGCAGAAGGGCAGCAACGTCTGAGCAGGTGGCACAGGCGAGCCGGCCTCAGCTCCCGGGGAGGGATGTTCTCTGCTGCTGCAAACCTGCGTTCTCCCCGGCATCTGCTCCCGTGCCCTGACCAGAAGGGGACAGACCGACCAGAAGGGGACAGACCTTCCAGGGTAGTCCCGGAATAGCTGCCTTCTGGCTCAGTCCCTGCGCTTTGCAGGTTAAAGTGGGTTGAGCCGATCTTTCAGCACTCAGTGTCCTTTCTGCGTTGCTATTTCTTTGAAAAACTCCCCTTTCCAGGTGGGTGCAAAACCCACATTTATGATACCGCCCCTAAAACGGAGTAGAGGCAAGTGGTGCTGACCAGGAACACCAGGAGGAGGCTACGTCTGGAGTAACTCACCTCCTTAGATACCTCCACCACCGAGTGCTTTGAGACATTGGGAGTAATATGGGCCAGGAAATAAAATACTGATTCCCTGGAGATTTGACAAGCAGTGTGGGAAGCAGAATCTAGCTCGCTCCCTCCTGCTCGTTGTGCATCTCACTGTCAGGAGAGTTGTACTCTTCTTGTGAGACACAGCTTTCAGTATTATTTTTTTTGGTCATTTATTATTGTATGTTGTAGTTACCGAAAATAATAAAAGGTTGTGTGTGGACTATACAGGTATAGGCACCATGACGTAATAAATTGCGTTGTCAGAATGATGTATATAAAGTGTGACGTGCTGAAATGTAATATATCTCATGGCAGAAGAAATGTATTTTTTTTGAGTAGGTGGGAGTGAAAAAAATCTCACGTGCAAACAGTGTCTAAGAACTGAGAATAAAGAGAAGAACTTTTCGATTCACACCCATTCTGTCACTCTTTCTAGATCTTTCCAAGCCAGTGAAGCACTGAAGAAGGTGTAAAATATTAAATTTTTCTGACCCAGCAGCAGCTTGCAGTGGGAAAGGGACTCGCGGCAGCCCTGCTGCTCGGCTTTCAGTTCTGGGAGCTTTCCTTTGGGGAAGAACATGAGTCCACGCCCTCAGAGAGGATTCCTCTAAGCTACTTCAGACTAGATGCTTATTACTTACACTTCCACAAGCTTAGAAATCATTATTTTATTCTACTACAGGTGGCACAAGCAGGTGTGAAGCAAAGCCTCCCCATGTCCCTCTCCCACTGCGCTGGAGCCCACCTGTTGCTCATCGCTGTAACTTGGCCAAAGTCTCAGCTGGGTTTGGCCAACGTCTCCATGGATTCTCCTTGGAAATGAATGAAAATAATCAAGCAAATTGAGCAAAGAAAAAAAAAAAAGGGGGGGAGAGGTTCAAAAGCATCTCGGTGCTTTGCTCCTCGTGCGAACTGAGGTTCCCACCTCGACGTCTGGAACCAAAACTCTTTTCATGGGGGACATTTAGGCTTCTGCAAGGGAGAGGGGCGACATTCTGCAAAACACTTTTCCAGAGTCAACACTTTGTCCTGGTTTGAGAGCCCCGGGAGGAAAGTTCTGGAGCTCCTGGCCCAGGTGGCAATCACAGTGCGGGAGCAGAGGATGGGCCAGGTGACCCAAACAGACCAATCAAGACGTTCCTTCCCAGGGAGTTCGGTATAAAAGGGTCCCTGAGGGGAGACCTGGGGCTTCAGTGCCTGTTGTGCTGGAAGGGTTGATGGTGTTCCTCATCTCTGTGTGCTGCTGGTGTTCCTGGCTCCTGTTTTCAGGCTGCAGAGGAGCACCGCTCGTCAGGACAGGTTGTCTTGCCCTGCCCCTCTGGGTGGGAGCAGCACAGCTCGCTTTCAATTGTGGGGTTTTTTGTTTGGGTTTTTTTTGGACTGCCATTGGGACTCTGCACTCAGGTGCTCCCATCTGCTGCCAAGTCCAGTCTGGGATGTTTTTCTGCTTGGTCACTGTCTGGAAGGCGTGGGTTCTGCATTATCGTATTATTTTGTACCTTTGCATATCTTTGCCTGCTTGTATAACACCTGTATATAGTTGAACATCTTTATTGTTATTCTAGGTGTTACCTTCTTTTTTGTTACGCTAGTTCAAAGCTTTTTTCTAGTCTCTCTCCCTGGTTCCCCTGTTATCCTGGGAGGGTGCTGGGGGGATTGCAGAGATTGTCTGTTAAAATTTAGTGGCTGGCCCAGCCTTAAACTTTGATGCACTTAAAAGGGACAATTAGGCAGTAACAAACCCACACATCAGTTGAAGGTAAAATAAAGTCAAGCTAAGCTCCCAGTCATAGTCCATATTTAGAGCATTTTATTATTTAAAAAATTACAAAACAAAGCTCCTGGGTTTCTTGTTAACTCTTGTTTTCTACAGAAAGTCATGAGCAAGATTATAACAGTAAAATGCTCCTGTGCAAACATCATCATCAAAAATAAATGTGCTATTTTATGTACACATAAGTTACTGTCAAATATTAACATGAACACATCTCTGTTTATAAATAGACTGCAACAAAAACGCAGCATTGTTTTAATCTTCTAAATAAATCAGATGCTTTGTCTGCGATGTAACCAAGTTATCAACCCCACTTCCTCTCTTTCTGTTCCTCTGAGACAGTGAGTCTCATCCAGAATCAGTCTGGGTTGTCTAAAAGCATCTCAGCAGCAGCATTCTGTGCATTGGCCTCAAAATGCAAGAGTAAGGGGTGAAGGACAGAGCAGTGTCTCCGAAGCAAAGCTGTGATCAGAGCCACCTCCCGTTCTCACACGCTCTGTCACCCTTGAGACGACGCTGACCGATCCTCGGCCTCCATTGGAAACCTTTCCATGAACAGCCGGGCTGAGTTTTCTCTTGAGTACGTCTGTGAAATGTTGATGGGCCTGTCCGAAGCCACGGGCTGATTTCCTCATGAGCGTTTAGAAGTTAAAAGCTATGGGTGAGCTTTTAGGAGGGTGTCCCAGGGACTAGAAGTACAGTTCTCCCCTCCCCAGATGCTCCTTAGGAAGAAAAGAACGTTGCACGATGCCTGGATCCAGCACGCCCGGATGGTTTAATAATGAACTCATGGGAGGGTGGCCGAGCTCAGCAGCGCGGCGTTTCGGTGCCCGCAGATCGCGGATACAGCAGGGGTCTGTGTGCAGCTTTCTGCAGCACCTGAGCACTAGGGGAGTTGAGAGTCTTCTGCTTCTCTGCAGACCCAGACCTGCCCTTAGCTACTTGGCTCCCCTCCCAGAGAGCTGTCCATCGTGTGCCGAAATCCGTTGAGCATCACATCTGGGCGAAGCTCTGGCATTTCCGTCTTGCTGGAGAGTGGGTGAAGGTGCAGGTCACTGCTGCTGTCCACGGCAATAGTCACTCCAGAAGGACGACTGTGAGCAGAATCATCACCTTTTCCAGCTTCGTCTTGGACAACGCGGTAGTTTTCTAGGGTCAAGCTCACACTGGGGATGGTAGGAGTGCGAGCTACTTTCAAGGTCTTTGACCTGAGCCTTTGGTAGCAGAAGAGGAGAGACAGGACTAGTGTATCTATGAGCAGCTCAAACATTTCAACTACAGACAGTACTGAGGAGCCAAACCAGAGACTCCATTGGCTTCCCATGCTGGACAGAAGCAGATTCTCCTGTGGGAAAGATCAAAGGGGTGTAGGAACATGAAATCGTTGTGTATTGCCCCTTAAGAAGTCTCTCCCTTAAGAAGAACAACCCCATCCCACCCTGGGGGCTGTAAAATAATCCTCCCTCCATCCACACACCAGAAGTAAGGGCAGGTAAGGATGTTTGGAGCTGCTGTAGTGCAACCTACCGAGAGCAAAGGAGACTCGTTCACAGCCTGGTAGTTCAGTTGCTGGTAGAAGATGGTCACCTTGGCAATATCCCTCCTGCGTTGGAGAAAGGGGGCAGTTAGCAAAGGTGAGGTGCCCAGAAGGTCGTTCACCCGGTGGAAGGTGCTGCTGGCGCTGTGTGCTTGGTTTTACATGCTACACAATAGGTTCCACCACTCAAGCTTTCTGCCTGAGGGTATTTAGGAAAAAGGTTACAGAAGTGATTGTCTTGTGGTGTTGTCAGGAAAAATAGAAAATCTATTGGATGACCTGAACACTTGTCTCTTCTCCTCCCTTTCCTGTCCACCATCTACCGATTCTGAGAGGGTGAAGAGTTGACCCATAGTTCAAACAGCAGCACCTTCTGGCAGTGACTCACCTGTTGCTGGTGGAGTTATAGCCGTTCTGATGCCTCAGAGCCTGGCGGACCCAGTCCTGCGGCAGAGTACACGTATGTTACTGTCTAATCTGTCCTCTGAGTTTTTGTATGCATAACATTTTGTAAATGTAGATTCCATGAAAAAACCAAAATGGCTGTGGCAAATAATAAAATGGGATGTAATTGATTGTTTTATAACACCAAGTGACGGCTATCAAGCAGTAGCTCTATTTGCCAGAACAGCAAAGAAAAGCACGCTGATATTTTAGGTGCACATAGTAAATTCTACCTTTAATGGCAACCACACCAAATGATTTCCTCTTTTAAAACGTATTGCTTGTATTTACATCCAGCTCATCACCTATTTCATGTGAATGAATTACCCGAATGCCTGCCTGCTGCTAGAACACGAGACGTGGCAAGAGGTCTTGCACTGACTCACAGGGTGTCCGCGGCAGCCCTGCAGCTCCTCACGGACCGTAATGAGTGAGTTGCTCCACCACAACACCCACTGGGAGCAGAAAGTCATTAACACCGTTTTGTCGGTGGGAACGAAGGCGGTGAGCGGAATTGCTTAAGGTCACGAGGAGCAACTGATTAGAGCTGGAGCTGAACCTCTCCAGCATCTTCGTCTGGCATCTTAACTGCGGGGTCGTTCCCTTGGGCCCAGGTTTTGGGCCAGTTTGCTTTAGTTGCCAACTTCCACCATTGCTACTTGAGTCATTTTTTTTCCACTCTTTACTCTGATATTCCAACGGCCACAGCAAATACAGCATCCCCCCCTAAACCCAGCAGTTGTCTGTGTGAACTACCTGGGACTTCACCGACGGCCACTTGGCTGTCCCAGCAGACACCTTGTACAGTGATTCCCTGATGGGATAAAACCAGAGATTATGATTACTGCAACTCTTAGAGTTTAAAAGCGAGTAAGTGGAGGAGTTTAACAATTCTAACTGCTTTCCAAGAACCTCAGGAAAAGATTTGTAAATCAGCTTAGAAAATAAAACCAGAGGTTGCCTGCAAACTGTTCAGGTCAGGAGGGAAAGCAGGATGGTTTAAAAATCCTGACGACTTTTTTCTTTGATGAATTCAAAAGCAAAGCAGTTGATATTTTGCTTTAAAATCAAGCCTTTCCATTTGGGAATTGACCCACAATAGAAAAGGTGAACCAAAAGTAATATAGATTGAAAAATGACGCAAATGGGTTTGGGCTTAACAAAATATTTCCGTGCAATTAAAATGATTTCACTTCTCTGCTCTCGTGCACGCGCAATGATCTTATTTAACTTGACCTTTTTTTCCTTTCTCAGAACTTGGGGCTCAACCACCAAACTGAAACCTTTTGTTCAGAAAGTGCCAAAAATTCAGTCGGCCATTTGGCCCACACAGTTTTCCACTAAGCTGCCTCCATTTCCACCGGTGGGATTTTCCTCTGCAAGCTGGCACTTATTGCGCACCGCCTTGGTGACCTACCGGCAGGGCTTGGGGCACTGGTCGAAACAGTTCAGGTGATGATTTCTGAGCCTGTTGTACAGCTGGTAAAAGCAGTGACCTGGTGGAAGAAATGGGAGGAACACGCTCAGACCCTTCCTTGGGAGAGGGAAGGTCACCACAACCTCTGCCCTGGCACACAGCCCTCTCGCTGAGACCTGGTTTTGCCTCCCTCTCCCTTTGGAATCTAAGGTGGGTGTTGTAGGAAGGTGACAAGGGCAAGACGGGAAACTTGTGCTCTTACCCCACGCAGGCTGCTTGTTGTAGTCACAGTACTCAGCACCGGGAGGCAGCGGGTAGTAGTAATAGCCACAGCCACATTTTTGAACCATGATGTGCTGAAAGCAGGAGTGCAAACAAGCCTGGAAAACCAAGGAGTGAAAGATTAGATAAACCAAAAATTCTCTAAGTGCCCAAATCTTTAGTCTGTAGCACACAGCTGCTAGGAGACAGGTTTTGTTCTAGTGCAAAGACAGCGGCCACTACTAGAGCATGATGGTGCAAACGGTTTTCACTTTTCATTCCTTGTCTTTACCTCTGGAAAAAAGAAGTATTGAACTCGGTGAGATTGAATCTTCCCCAGCTCTGTTTTTTATTATGCTCAGTGACATCTCAGGCAAACAGCCCAAACATCTGGAGCCTGGAGCAGCGACTTATCCAAATAAAGACCCGATGGCTCAAGAACGTGCTGCTGCAACAGCCCAGCTGCCTTCACGGGCTCATTGTCTGAGCTCTCTTGTGTTATAAGGACAGAGCCCCGGTGTCTGGGACTGAGTATCCCCCACACGTCCCAAATTATAACACCCTTCTTTTCAGAGGGGTGTGAACCTCTCTGTTATCTCCAGCAATGAACCTGCAGACTTGTAAAAGCTCTCTGGAGAGTGAGGTGTGACTTGTGCGCTATTCGGCCACTCTCAATAAACGACTAGGGCAATACCTGCAGGGTGTAGGAGTTGTTGTACAGGAGTTTCACATTCACATCGCTGCCATCGGTCGTGCATTTTCCATAATTGCCACCCAGGCGATTCACCTCATCCTGCGGACACAGAAAAGAGGCCTCAGGGATCAGGTGATTTAATTGGACCCAGGCATCACTGTCTGAACTTAACTGGATGGGGCAGCGTGTAAAGGACAGGAGGGACGTATGTGAGCAGCTGAGCTACACCTTCCTAATAAAACATATAGGAATAGGGCAAAGATAGGAGAGTGCACGTGGTCATGGTTATGGTTCAGCTGACAAGCCAGAACTCATCATGTCAAAATTACTAAATCACTTCTGAATGTTTGGTCTCACCCTAATACGCTCCTGCAGCCCCCTGCGTAGAGATGGAATGTGAGAGGAGTAAATGTGAGAAAAAGAATTAAAAAACAAATCAGGCCCAAATGTATCAGGGACCAAAAGGCCACTTGCACATGTGGAATAATTTTGTTTCACCCATGGGAACCTGAGCGCAGCGAAGAGATAGCAGGAACTTGCATAGATACAGAAGCACAGTCAAGAAGTGGCCACGGGGGTCCCACTGCGCGAGGCAGTCCCAGTGTTCAGCTCCTCACAGCTTCCCGCAGTCCAAAGGAGAAGAGCGAGCGCTCCCGAGCACGCGGCTGACCTGCTGGATGCCGATGGTGGTTGCGATGCCCGGTCTGATGTCAAAGCCTTCGTGCTCGAGGAACGGCGTCTGGTTGTGGTTGTGGATCATCACTTTCACGCCTGCTACTGTAGACAGGAGCGGGATGTGATCCTTCTGCTCTGCTCGCAGGATAAGGGAAAGTCCTGTGACCCAAAGGAAAGGGAAGTATGCAACAACTTATTTTTTTGGCCAAAATAGGAATGACATCTCAAATTCTCAGCATTGATCAGATTTCTGCTTTGGCTTACAGAAAAGCCGTTCATTTTCCTTAGAGACCTGGTGAGTGGTCAGGGAGCAGTTGCACCAATACTGCTTGGAAACTACAATAATATTCTGCGTGCTCTAAGATAAGATACGGCTATCATACACGTGGCCAGTGAAGCAAGCAAGCCCAGTGTATAATTTGTGCCCCTAGACTAGAAGAGAGGGCTCTATGTCAGTAAGTCAGGTATAGAAGAGATATTTATTCCATAGCCAAATTATTCTAACTTTAGACCTTCTTTTCACCCTTTGCCAAAGAACATACCGTAAGGAATTCCTGGTTTTGTAGCTGTCCAAAAAGAGTCTGTTCCCTTGCTGTTAAAAGTATAGCAGCTTCCAAAGACCGGGTGGTGAAAGTGAACATAGTCACTGAAATCAAGAGAGATTTTGATGCGGTTTAATGACGAGCGCAGCAATACCTTTACTTCTATGTACGAAGTGTGCTCTGTGTGTGTAAGCACGGGACTGAGTTGTGAACTCACTGGAGAGAAGGGAAAAAATCAGGTGTGCAGGGATTCACTGCTCACCCAAGGTTTTTTATAAAACCAAGGTGTTTTTTTAAATTTCAAAAGCATTAAATGCAGGAGTCATGTTCACTTGCTTTTCCTTCCACCAAGCAGACTAAACTTCTCCCTGCTTGTCCCAACAGCCAGGCAGGTTGTTCTGTGATATAATCAATGGGAGAAACATCACTTCTTCAGGGCTAAGCCTGGCAGTGCCTGCACACGTAGGCTCACCTTCAGCCCCCCCGAGTCCTCCAGCTCTGCTAAAATCCCAATTAGCACCTCAAGAAGTAGCATACCTGGGCCTGCAGGGCTCCCCATCGTACTGACAGGAGTAGACCATATCTTCTATTTGCTCCTCGTGATCAGAAATGTTGATTATAACCGGTAGCTGGGACATGATATTCATGTAGTGAAACCTGTACCATTCGAGAATTGCATCCATCCCAGATGAATAGGTCTTGTAGAAGCAACTCCCACCCGTGGCGTTGCACTGGAAGAGAGGGAGCCAGGAGGATATTTATCAGAGAATCACAGAATGGCTGCAGTTGGAAAGGACCTCCGGACATCATCTTGTTCTGTGATAAGCACCTTCTTGCCCTGAAGCTGAATTAGGTGTGCTGCTTCATCGCAGGGGAAAAGAGGCAGGAGAGAGCGGGCAAGACAGCTCAGGTCCTTGGCAAAAGGAAGGACAAAGCTGGTGGGAATTCTCTACAAACCTCGAATCACGAACCAAGTCCTGAGATGCTTTCTGTGTTCTTATTCAGGCCCTAGACAGGTGAACCTTCACAGATTCTGGTGAAAGTGTGTTGTGAAGGACTTCAGGATAGGGCGGCACGATAATAATCAGGCAAAAATTGCTGCCTTGTCAAGCCAGACCAATCTCTCACAGCTTCTGCTCTTAGATCTACTCTAACGATGGTTTTGAGTGAAGAATCTGAAGCATTTGCATTCTTCTCTGAAGTCACAGATACACTTTCATTGCATTCCTCCTCTTGATTTGTTATTGCCACCTTTCGTTTTATCTGCAACATTTCTAGCGCCCCCAGCCCCACAGCGTTTAGGCATGGAGGGAATCATCGTGGGTTGTTTCTCTGTTATTTCTAGGCTCACCTGCCAAGTCTAGAAGTTTTGTATATTTTCAGGAAGGGGTAAAATGATTCCCACGGGCTGCTGCTACTGCTCCTTACTGAATTTGTCCCTGCCAGAAGGACTTTACGAGGGGGTGGGCTGTGTCCGATCAGTGATGTTGCTGCCATTTCACTTCAGAAGAATCCCAGCAACCAGCATAAACTGTTGCAGGCAGGGATGGACACTCTTGAAATATCCCCTAAGCTGTCCTTACAAAGCACTGAAAAATATTTTTTCCCACTTGTTTTGTTTTTAATGTGCCTTGTGAGATCTCTGTCGGGCTCCTGAGCGCACTGTTAGGACTTAATGGCTCTGAGTGGCTTCACCTGGACCTTCCACCCACACCCTCTCCCATGAGCCCAGGAGCTGATTTAAGTTCAGCCCAGAACCCTCAAGTCTCTCTTAGGGCTGTGTTGTGGGGTTGCTGGCCTCATTGTTGATTCTGTGGGCAATTCCATGGCCTGATCTTAAACCTGCCTCTTCACCACCACGGATATGCCTGAGGAGCTGGACTCTTGGTTGGACACGGCCACCATCTCTGAGCTTCCTTCACTCACTCAGGTAGGGTTGGGTGGGGTGGGTTCCTGGTCCCTTGGGGAGCAGCCAGCCCTTGTTGGTCCCCTCTGTGCCCGGGCTAACATCCCAAAGAGGATGCACGCTTACCAGCTTGAAGGCCACGCTGGAATGCCTCTTCCCTGACCTGTTGTTGTGGTCGGGCATTCTCAAGAGAGAGTAGTTCTGGCTCAGCTTGAAGCTGGACCTGCTGAGGTTGCCCATGCTGGACAAGTCTTTTACGTGGATGTTTTTCTCGTTCGCGTGGAATAAGCTGGCTGATGTGTTGATGCCGTACAGAAAAGTGATCGATTCCTCTGCCATGCGATCCAGCTGAACCAAGTGCTCACTCACCAGTTGAAATCTGCAAGGAACAGAAAGATAAGCTCTCTGTGAATATTCGCATTTCTCTTAGGCAAAGGCACATTGTTTTATTTACCCTCAGAGCATCTGTGGAAAGGCTACTTTCCTGGTCTCTGCAGGCCTTGACGTTTGTGTGAGAAAAACCAGCAATTAGGGTGCCCATGTTTAGCATAGCTAACTTCGATAAATTAATTTATTAGCAGCTCCAGTAGCTGAATTTCTAGTTGCTGCATCCTCTACTGGAAACCTCAGAACTGTGCAGCATCAGCTGCTCAAACTGGCCTTACTGTCAGACAATTAGATAATTATTCCCGGGGAATTACATACTTCCTTTCCTATGTAATTTGAAACTTCTTGATAACTTGCCGTTACTGCGCGAGCCTCGTTTGACAAACCGAGCCATGAGGGCTTTCACAGAAATTATATCGTCTGCGGTATGAAAGGCCAAGCAGAATCAGCTCTAGCAGATGTCACTCCAGAGATCAGCGGTTTCGTTGGGAATGGGTGCACGCAACAGCCGTGTTTTTCAGGGAAAGGCTGTTTTTATCAGAGCACAACATCAGTCAGCAGTTCGAACCGAGTCACGAGGCACAGTTCCCTCTGCCCTGACTCAGTGCATGAAATAAACTGCTACCTGCTGTTGCACCGTTGCCAGCAAGATGTTATCTTAAAACCCTCCTGGAAATAACAATAGTCCCTTTCCACTTCTGGGAGGCAGACAGGACCTCCCCCAGGCTGCAGCAAGGAGGTTGCTGACCCTTCCCAAGCCCTCCTGACGAAGGGCACAACTGCGGCCAAGGGGACAAGCGCGGGTTACCTGTAGGGGTCCAGGTTGCAGATGGTAATTGCTGGAAACATCTTGGGCTCTGAATGCATTGACATGGTCAGGACGACAGGGTAGGCCCAGTACTGGCTGAACATAAGTGCAAATTGCCAGTACAACATGCCGAAGCTGGCAAGTAACAGCAGAGTCCAAAAAGCTGTTTTCATCCTGTTGCTGTCCGAGCACACGAGGCGGATGGTGCCGTGGATCGTTGTGTTCTTGCAGAAGAACTCAAACATGTCCTTGAAGGAATCGTAAAACTCAATCAAGCCTTCTTTTTTCTCTTCTTCTTCTCTTGCCACTTCCTGCTCCATCCTCTAAGTCTGTTTCTGCTCGACAAAAAAAATTAAATAAGTAAATCTCACTAGCTCGTTAGGCTACAGCCAATCTATGGGCTCTTTCAAACAGGGTGCCAATGAGTTTGTTATTAGCAAGAGCTGAAAAATAACTGTGAGCTGAGACGTATCGATGTCTCTCCAGAGTTTGGGCACCAGGAAGTAGCAAAGAGGTCAAATGTTCTGCTTATAAGTAACTGGAGGCGTCCTACCGCGTGCGATGACTTCTCCGTCAGTGCAGACACGCAAAGTTAACGTGACTAATGCACAGGCTGCTGAGACGTCTGCAGCCAAAGGGGTGTGTGGTTTCCTTCTAAGAACACCAAGGACCAATAGTGAATTCTGAAACATATTGAATATCGAATTCTGTAACTAATTCATCATGATGAGTCTATTGCTAGGGAAACATGCTGGCCTATAGGCCTGAAACAAGACTCTCGGACCTAGAACTACGGCTTTATCCTTGTTTTCAAGGTATTGGGATAAATCCAACTTTCAAGGGAATGATGAGGATAAATGGGAACTGATTTTAATTTTTGCTGATGACCTCTCATTCTGAAGAATGGAGGGAAACAGATGAATTTCTGCCCTCCCTGAAATAGAACCATTTCCCAAGTGACATACAGTAGGTATTCCATAATTCAGATACAGAGTCAGGTATTTAGGAAAGGAAGGGAAGAAGAAGACCACCTTGATTGAAACCGCAGAGGGGATTAATTAAATTAGAATATGGATAAAGCATCACAGATACTTAAATGCTCTTGGGTTCTTTCTGAAGACCACAGAAATATTAATTGCTGTTATTAACAGAAATTTTGCCACCTGTCTCTTACATAAATAGCTTCAGGAATCTAAAAATCTTCTTCCATTTTACAGAAGTGAAAAGGAAGCACAGAAGCTGAAAATCAGTGGCAAGAAGAGTGGCACAGCTGGAAGTCGAACCCCATCTCTCCTTTGCCACAGTAAGTAAAACGTCCGCTACGCTTCTCTACGTAATTCCAGGGTTTATGCTGATGAAAGTGTGAACATTATTTATGCTCGGATGTTTCAGCCAGCACAGGTGGAGGATATCTGACTTGGTTTTAGTACCAGCTTGAGGCATTGGACTAATGTTGACATACTTCCACTTACTGAACATGACATCAAGTCCTGCAATATGTGAGTTTCCAACATTACAGCACTCTGTGAATCACCCACCTATTATGCTATTAAGAGAAGTTTACTGAGTGCACCACTTCGGTCCAACCTTAGCTCCACATAAAAATCTTATAAATGCAGTAACAGAGTTTGAAGCCCAGGAGAGCACCAATGACTCCAGAATTGCTGCCAGCGGGCGGCGCGATAAGGAAATGAAAGCTCGGGGGTTTTGCTGAGTTATGGGCTCTGAAGCGTTTGGTGCTCGCTCGGTGTGAGGGGCCGGTGAGGTCACCGCAGCTCGGCTATCGATAGACACGAGTGTCCTGACCTGAAATGCCTCCTCCCTCAATTCCACCTCTCCGTTTTTAAAGCGTGGCTTCATTTCGAAAGCCCTTGGAATAGGGCACTTCAGATCAAAGAATATCTTAGAGGTACAAGCTGCTAAGACAGTCTCTTCAGTGTACCTATTCACGTCAGAAAAATTAGGAATAATCCTTAAACAGCGGAGAGGACTCCAAGAGCTGTACACCAGATTAGCTTTAAAACAGCCCACAAAACCTGACAAGGAAACCCAGTTTGCCACAGGTTATTTTCTCCAAAAACCGTAACACAGACCATATTTGTATTTTCTAAGATACTTTTTAACAGCAATGCAAAATTAACTCAAAGGCTTATGCACCTCCTCCATACTGTTGTCATGAAACATGAGAAATGATTTTTCAAATTTCTCATGTACACTTGGCATTGAGCAAGTACAGGAAGCCTGGGCAAAGGAAGATATTAAAAGGCATGAACAGTTAAAACAAAATATGTGTGATAAGGAACTTATGTAGGAAATGAACAATTCCACTTTTGCTACGAGGAAACATTGCTTTTTCTGCAGTGCATATATAGCTGAACTGTTAATCCCACTCAGACTGCAGAGAGCCACAGTACTCTGAACCACGGGTTGCAAATTTTATCAGCCCACCTTACAGCTGAAGGCTTCTTCAGTCAGACAGGACTATCTGTGGCAAACTCCAGAAACAAGCCCATGGTAGTCTTGTTACCTGCTTTTGCTACACAGTTTTCAGATTAAATGCCTGTGCTAAAATGTACGTTCAACCTTTACCTTAGTCGGTTCTTTCTCATTCTGTTTAGATAAGAATAAATGAAAGTAAGCCTGCAGTGTATGCTAAGAAACACACTGAATGAGTCCTTAAATATTTAGAGTATTTTAAGACAGAAATGAAAATTGTGTGAGACTCAAACAGGAAAATTTAATTTACTCATGTTGTACTAATCTCACTAGTCAGCCTTGCTCTAACGAGAAAAAGTAGAATAAAAAGTAGTAGTTACCAAATGCTAAATCAAATCTATCAAACACACTTTTTTCTATGTATAATCCTGAATCTTAAAAAAGCCACCTGTAAGCATTCAAACCGATGCTTTCAAAGATAATCCATAGTTTTCAGACATTCTGACGGCGCTATGACTAGTTAGATCATACCATTCAAATCTGCATTCTTAAAATAACTAGAATGAAAAAGCATGGGATAACAAAAAAAAAAAACCAACAACCCAACCCAGAGGGAATCTTTTGAAACCCATGTGAAGAGGCAGCAGCCCATCCTCTCTGCTGGTTTCCCAGCTCAGCCTACCACTGATTTATTTAACACAGCGGTCGCAGTCAGGGATTAAAGTCACAGCAAGGGCGACCCGTTGCCTGTCTTGTCTGTGGAAAGTGCCCGGAGAGAGGCTGCGGGTTCTGAGAAAGTCAGTGGAAGTTGTGCAGCCCTGGCAAACAAGCTTAAGTTCACGTATTATCACAGCAGCTCGACACTCAGCACATACTAAACGCACACGAGTGGCACGCGGTCAGATATTTAACCACGTGTAGCGGCATCTATAGCTACATATTGATCATACATATAGACAGCAAGACATAGCAAACCAGCTAAGACCAAATTGCCAAACACCCCACCGTACCTTGGCAGAAACTCTATCTTTGGGTGCACAGAGCAGCCACTAAACTCGGCCTTCGTTTTGGTCCAAAGCTTTCGGACTTCCTTTCCCAAGTGAGGACGCATTGGGAGCTCTCCAGCCTATATGGATCAAATCGATGACATCAAAAGGGGCAGGACTTAAGAGCCTTCGTCTTGGTCCAAAGCTTTCGGATTTCCTTTCCTAAGTGAGGACACATTGGGAGCTCTCCAGCCTATATGGATCGAATCGATGACATCAAAAGGGGCAGGACTTAAGAAACAGATCACGGAAATTATTCAAAGCATGATCCAGGGAATAATAGGAAGTGAATGAACTGGACAAACAAGTTAACGTTAAGGTTACGCTTGAGTTAAAGTTGGTTTGAGTGGTGGTGCTGGTGTGTTCGTTTTCTTTTCAGCGGCTCGAATAGCTTTTCAGCCGTAATTTCTACAAAAGCCTAGGGAAGTAACGGTGGATCCTGTGAGGTTCTTTCCACACTGAACTTTCCTGTCACGGAACTAGCTTTCTGCCTTCTTTTCATGGTTTCCGGAGGCTTGTATGATCACCAGTAATTGAAGCCATTAAGGTTTCCACAGGTGTGCTTGAGGAATTACATACCTCAGTGTAATCTAAAATGATCGGCTCCTCTGTTTAAGGCACACGTGGCAGAGGATTTCTTCCTGCTTCCCTAAGAATATTGCTCATCCATAGTGGGCTATCCCATGCCTATCCCGTATTTAACTCTTCAGATGTTGAGACTTGAACAGGGTAAGGCAACCAGGGCATTGAATTTAAATCAGAATGCCCTGGTTTTGTAATACTGCTCAGTTAAGACTTGCAAAAGTCTGCATAAGTAATGCAGAGGTAGATTTAGAACCCAGGACGGCTAAAACACAACCACCTCACGTTGCTTGCATAATAAGTAGTGACATCTGCCCAGCAGGAAAACAGCTCGGCAAGGGTTTTGCAAGAAGCTTGCTATATGAAAATATTAATACTCTGGATACGGATAACGTACAGAGCTCCAAATTGGGCCAGCAGAGCTGCTGCCTGCCTTTTAAAATTAGCTGGAACCAGATTTTCTATTACATTGGGGGTTGTGAAATACTGCCATTTTTCAAAGGCAATTGAAATATCTTGTGAGACCGAATTCACAAAGAAGGGAGAAAGGACGAAGATTGGGGGAAACATACTCTCCTCATTCTGCCTGATTTCAGTCCTGTGTATGTTTTTAACAATTGCTTTGTGCTGGCTTTTGTTTTAGAAAAACAAAACACGTAGAATGTTCATCTCAAATTTTAAAAGAAGTACTCTAGAACACGTGCATCCCACTAAACAGCTTCTATTAATGTTTTACCCCCGTTGTCTCTGGTATTGAAAGGAAATGTCATCCAAAATTCTTTGAAATGTTTTAATTTTTTTAAAAAGATACTATTTTGGCATTTAGAAATTGAACTTTTTTTTGATTAAAAAAAATCCAATTGGTTCTTGAATGAACAGCTGCTAGCAGAGCCACTTGTCACTGATCGATGAACAAGCAATTGCTCATTAAAAAACCCAGAACAGCGAAAACTTAATTCTGCCATGTCCACTTATTTGTCCCCCACCCTTCTCTCATCGTCTTAGATTGTGCAATAGAAAATGGCAACAATAAATCCTTGACAATGAAGTTGTTGCACAACGAACACACACGAGACAAAATTCTGTTGCTTCATTATGGCTGCAGGCCGCAGCGTAGAGATTCTCTGGCACCACGCTCAGAACACCACCCGCTGAGCCAGCCTTGGATTTTCTCCTGCAGGAAATGGGGAAGAACTGGATACGCAGACGCCGCCGTCCCCCGAGCCAGGGTCAGCTTCTGTCTGCATCTGCTCCTT